TGCTCTTTCTGCTGAAGGCTTTGATGCCTACATCAGATCAGAACATTGCCAAGACACAGCTTACAAGGTGGAATAGGTACATAAGAGGTAATAGACACACAGCTAAATGCTAGCTAAGATGTTGATCCAACTAGTGATACATCCCTCACACCTTCCTTTTGGAGATTGAGGTGGGTGACTGGCATCCAACGACTGGGAAGCAAGTGGGCACTCCTTCAAATGGGTTGGGCCTGCAAGGTTTGTTCATACCTGGCACCTCTATGTCCTTAATGAAGGAGACAGTGTTGGTGCCAGCTTGGCACCCAATTTAGTCTTAGTCACCTCCTCAGAACGGAGAGGCTGCTCACTGGCAATTCTATTTTGCACAGTGGTTCTGATCTTCTCTCCAGGTCAGTTTCATAGAATAGAACTGGGTGCTTGTATTTCAATCCCTTGGCAGTTATGCTCTGGTTTGTCACAGTTTACCATTTGGTCCCCAATTCGTTTTAACTTCTGCATGAAGCCTTTGCAACAGTGATTAGCAGATTTGGGGCAAGATGTTGTCAACACCCTGATGAATGCTCAACTCTATGCTCTGTAACATCTGAAATCAGGAGAACCCATGCAAGCTCTGGATGTGCTGGATAAGGTGGTGGGTTAAATGAGGACCAATTAAAGTGAGTCTGATCCTGGTAAGATGGAGGCATGTTTAGGTGGGTGGTTCTTGAGTCTAGATAATTGGTCAGTTGCCTGCTATGGATAGAGCTGTACTTCACCTGAGAGAACCAGCTCATAGTCTAGAATGCGTCTGGATCCATCTTTGTTGCCTGAGGCCCAGGTGACCTCACGGCCTTCTACCACCTTCATCAGGCAAGGCAGCTTTGACTAGTAAGATAGCTAAGGTGGTTTCTTGGACCAGTTTGGCAACCTCCAGGCTAGATACTGCAATGTGCTGTATTTGGCGCTGCCCTTGAGGTTAATCAGGGTGAAAAATGAAGTGGATCAACTGTTCATGTGGGCAGAATATAGCCAACATTTCGCCACTGTTGAAAGAATTCCACTGGCTGCCAATTAGCTACTGGGATAAGTTGAAGGAGGTGGTTTGGTGTAGAAAGGTCTATACAACTTGGGTTCAAGATACCTGCAAGATCATCTCATTCCCTTTATACAATCGTCAATCATCATACTCCGCAGTGACGGTCTTCTGAAGATACCGTCTTATTAAGAGTCTAGAGTTGCCATATTTGGAAGACAAAAAGAGGACACATTTGCCAACTTCTACTTTAACCATGTAGGGACATGGGTGGCGCTGTGGGTTAAAGCCTCAGCGCCTAGGACTTGCCAATTCATCAGGTCAGCAGTTCGAATCCCCGCGGCGGGGTGCGCTCCCGTCGCTCGGTCCCAGCGCCTGCCAACCTAGCAGTTCGAAAGCATGTCAAAGTGCAAGTAGATAAATAGGGACCTCTTACTAGCGGGAAGGTAAACGGCGTTCCGTGTGCTGCGCTGGCTCGCCAGATGCAGCTTGTCACGCTGGCCACGTGACCCGGAAGTGTCTGCAGACAGCGCTGGCTCCCGGCCTCTAGAGTGAGATGAGCGCACAACCCTAGAGTCTGTCAAGACTGGCCCGTACGGGCAGGGGTACCTTTACCTTTACCTTTTACTTTTAACTATGGATCAGACTTTTAACCCAACATATGGAAAGCCTAGCTTAGGCATCCTCCAGTAAACTTTGTATTGATCATTCATAATGATTTGTGCTCAATTCTTTCAAGGGTGTTATATCCAACTCCATTTTCAATTGTGCCTGCAAAGAATTTGAGGTTGTCATACTGGTTAATTTTCATTCAGTCATATCGCTTAACTTCCTGCTGAAAACCACAAATGCACAAACTTGTTACAGTATTGTCCTGCTTTCCCTGTTATATAGCTTCCCCACACAGTAATAATGTGGTAGCATTCAGGAAGCGTCACAGAACTAACAAAGCAGAATAAATTGACCATCAATGCACTACTGTCATGTCAAGAATATGCTGCAGAATACATCCTCAATAAAATCCCAGTCTGGCTTGGCCAGTAGAAAAATAACTTGTTGACATCACACATCAGCCAAATTATATCTTTAAAAATAGTGTGGAAAACTTAGCTGAATTGGGGTTGTGACTGAAAATAACAGCAGGTGTTTACCGCTATGAGAAAACTCATGTGATATCTGCAGGTTCAGTCTTTATGGCAGAAATTGGCAGAGCTGTCCAGAGATCTCTCATTTTATGCAGGGACCTTCTGGGACCACCTGATTTCTGTTCTATTATCCAACAAATAACCAAAACATTTGGGTGAATCACTAATAATTTTCTGAATGACGACAGGAAATAGAAAGTGAGATTCTGTTAGGCATTGTGTGAAGCAAATAGTGCTGGCCTATATTGCAGAGATACCCGCTAAATACATAGAGACAGACTCCACATCGTCTTGTAATTGTAATCTTGAGATACTGAATAGCTTGCACATTCAAGGGCATGAACTTCCATTTCTTCTTGAATGGTAACTTAATTGTATCATTAATTTCTGTAAAGAAGAATTTCTCACTGATTTTCCATAGGTATTCCATTTTCCAATGGGCACACCTGGAGGCAACAGAGACGCTTTGGTGTGGTTACTATGCGGAAGCTGGGACTGGGGAAGAAAGGCATGGAGCAGCAAGTAGCAGAGGAGGCGCATCAGCTCGTGGAGGTTTTTGCACGTTCAAAGGGTATGTGATGCTAGGTGACGGTGCTGAGCTGGCGTATGAAGATATATTTGTGTACTACCTCTGTCCATTTTAGAAAGGAATGTGATATGTTTTTCTTGGTTCCTAATGGAGATCATGGGTGGTGCTGTGGGTTAAACCACAGAGCCTAGGACTTGCTGATCAGAAGGTCGGCGGTTCGAATCACCACAGCGGGGTGAGCTCCTGTTGCTCAGTCCCAGCTCCTGTCAACCTAGCAGTTCAAAAGCACGTCAAAGTGCAAATAGATAAATAGGTACCGCTCCGGGGGGAAGGTAAACGGCATTTCCGTGCGCTGCTATGGTTCGCCAGAAGTGGCTTAGTCATGCTGGCCCCATGACCCGGAAGCTGTACGCCGGCTCCCTCGGCCAATAAAGCGAGATGAGCGCCGCTACCCCAGAGTCAGCCACGACTGGACCTAATGGTCAGGGGTCCCTTTACCTTTACCTTTACCTTTAATGGAGATCCCAGCAGTTTCTCTTGGCCACCATGAAATTCCACTCTCAGTATGAACAGGAGCAGCTGAACTCACATTAGTAGAACTTTATTTTGCAGGGCAACCACTTGACCCCTCCATGCCCATCACTAATTCAGTCTCCAACGTGATATGTGCTATGGCTTTTGGGCACCGGTTTGCTCTTGAAGATGAAAGGTTCCAGAAGCTGATAGAAGCCATGAATTTCTCCCTAAAATTTATAGGAAGCTTCGTTCATGCTGTGAGTAGTCATTTTCATTCCTGCTGATTCAGAGAAGTCACCCAGGGGCCTTATATTTCCCACTCAGCATTCTGGATTCCATTATGATAGAGGATAGACTGTTGGAGAAGTGAGATGAGGTTTAAATCTAATCTGAGATAAGGGCTATTTTACAGCCTAATCAATTTCTTACCATGAATATAAAAGAGAGAGTAATGAAACTAGGTCCACAAGTTGGGACTTTTTGGAGGAAAGACAGGCTAGAAATGGAACAATGGCCTTCAGAACAAGTCATCTATAGCCCACATAAATGAGCAGAAGTGAGCAAAATAATATTCTCAGGAAGGGAATTCCACTATGGCATAGCATGGGTGGAGCCAGGCAGCCTGTGGCCCTGGATGTGACCAGATGCTACTATGACAGGCTCTCTCATGATGTTGGAGCCGTGGGGAGGCAAGACATCAGATGATTTCCCCTCTTTCCTTTCTCTTTCTTAACTGTAATGTGTTTCTCTGTCCCCTTTTTTTCTGCTGGCTGCAACGAGCCACCAAAAGGCAAACTTTAACACTTCTCCTTCCCATCCTGCTGTGCTCCACATCCCTCCCTCACTGGCTTCTGTTAAAATAATATATGTTTTACCTGCCAAAGAAAATCTCAAGCGGAACTGTGTTGAGAGGCATGCTTTGCCTCCCTCCTCCTGATCAATTTCACCCAGAGCCTTGTCAAATTCACCACATTCTTCTTCAAATGTCCCGTTCAAACCTTGGTATGTGGAAATGAATTAGCCCTTGCCTCCCCCTTCTCTCTCTCCTGCCTCTTCCTTGCCTCCTCCTTCTCATTACCCTGAGACCTCTTGGCTAGCATTTATTTATATGGGGATCGGCTCTTTTCTCCGCCCTCTCACCTCAGATTGCCATGATGCAAACCCAGGATATGTATTTGTCTTATTTAATATTATTTGTTATTGGGAACAAAGTTATTGCAAGGAAAGGCTATGGAAGAGACCCAACCTCCAAAGTGTTTGCTAGAGAGGCTTATTCAGAAAATGTAAGTAATTTATCTTTCATGAGAAAACTAGGAAAGAGGAAAAGCTCCCTTCTTAAATGTTTAATAATAATAATAATAATTTATTATTTATACCCCGCCCATCTGGCTCAGTTTCCCCAGCCACTCTGGGCGGCTTCCACAAAGACAAAAAATACACTAAGATGTCACACATTAAAAATTTCCCTAAACAGGGCTGCCTTCAGATGTCTTTTAAAGATAAGATAGCTGCTTATTTCCTTCACATCTGAAGGGAGGGCATTCCACAGGGCAGGTGCCACTACTGAGAAGGCCCCCTGTCTGGTTCCGTGTAACCTCACTTCTCCCAGCAAGGGAACCGCCAGAAGGCCCTTGGCACTGGACCTCAGTGTCCGAGCTGAATGATGGAGGTGGAGACGCTCCTTCAGGTATACTGGACCAAGGCAGTATAGGGTTTTAAAGGTCAGCACCAACACTTTGAGGGACGCAGGTGGCGCTGTGGGTTAAACCACAGAGCCTAGGACTTGCTGATCAGAAGGTCGGCAGTTCGAAACCCTGCGACGGGGTGAGCTCCCATTGTTCGGTCCCAGCTCCTGCCAACCTAGCAGTTCAAAAGCACAAAGTGCAAGTAGATAAATAGGTACCGCTCCAGCGGGAAGGTAAACGGCGTTTCCGTGTGCTGCTCTGGTTCGCCAGAAGCGGCTTAGTCATGCTGGCCACATGACCCGGAAGCTGTCTGCAGACAAACGCCGGCTCCCTCGGCCAATAAAGCGAGATGAGCGCCGCAACCCCAGAGACGGCCACGACTGGACCTAATGGTCAGGGGTCCCTTTACCTTTACCAACACTTTGAATTGTGCTTGGAAACGTACTGGGAGCCAATGCAGATCTCTCAGGACCGGTGTTATGTGGTCCCGGTGGCTACTCCTAGTCACCAGTCTAGCTGCCACATTCTGGATTAATTGCAGTTTCCGGGTCACCTTCAAAGGTAGCCCCATGTAGAGCGCATTGCAGTAGACCAAGCAGGAGATAACTAGAGCACTCTGGCGAGACAGTCCATGGGCAGGGAGGGTCTCAGCCTGCGTACCAGGTGGAGCTGGTAGACCACTGCCCTGGACACAGAATTAACCTGTGCCTCCACGGACAGCTGTGAGTTCAAAATGACTCCCAGGCTGCGCACCTGGTCCTTCAGGGGCGCATTTGCCCCATTAAGGCCCAGGGAGTCCCACACACCCGCCCGCCCCCTGTCCCCCAAAAACAGTACTTCTGTCTTGTCATGATTCAACCTCAATCTGTTAGCCGCCATCCATTCTCCAACCTCCTCCAGGCACTCACACAGGACCTTCACCACCTTCACTGGTTTTGGTTTAAAAGAGAGTTAGAGCTGGGTGTGATCGGCATACTGCCCAAACCCCCTGATGATCTCTCCCAGCTGCTTCATATAGATATTAAAAAGCATGGGGGAGAGGACGGAACCCTGAAGCACCCCACAAGTGAGAGCCCAGGGGTCTGAACACTCACCCCCCCTACTTTCTTGACACAGCCCACGAGAAGGGAGCGGAACCACTGTATAACCGTGCCTCCAACTCCCAGCCCCTCTAGACGGTCCAGAAGGATGTTACGGTCAATGGTGTCCAAGGCTGCTGAGAGATCCAGCAGAACTATGAAACAGTTCTCACCTTTGTTTGAATTTTTTAAGGAAGAGATGGGCATTTCTTGACTGGGGAACTTAAATAAAATAAAATAAAATAAAATAAAATAAAATAAAACAAAACAAAACAAAAACAAAAAAACAAAAAAACACAAAATAAAATAAAATAAAATAAAATAAAATAAAATAAAATAAAATAAAATAAAATAAATAAAATAAAATAAAATAAAATAAAATAAAGAAAGATAAATTTTAAAACCGCATAGCAAGATTTGTAGAACTGCACATTTCAAAGGATGGCTGTGTTTCAATTTGCATATTTGGCAAATTCACTCTTAAATGTGAACTGACTTGAATGTCTCCCCATCTGTATTCTCCAGCCACCCCCCACCTCCCAACAAATGGCCTGGGATTGTGCCCAGTTTTGAATGAAGCCTGGGAGCTAGAAAAATACTTTGACCCCTAGTTTTCTTTCACATATTCGGCTAGAGATATTTCCCAGAACCAGTCATTCTGAGATTCAAGAGAAGCTGCAGACTCCTACCTTCTTCTCAGGGAGACTCAAACTAATGTGCTAGCTCTGAAGAATAACCGGGGTCATGTTTTAAGTACTAAGTCAAATGAATTGACTCATGAACTACATGACCAAGCTTCCTCATGGTAATGACGGCATGTCTGCTATCTTTCCTTTAGCTTTATGAAATGCTCCCATGGCTCATGAAACATCTCCCAGGGCCCCACAAGAAGGCCTTGTCCTGCACAGAGATGGTGCTTTCATTTGCAAAGGAGGAGATAGAGAAGCATAAGGAGAATCAGTCTCTGCATGATCCACAGGATTTCATTGATTTCTATCTACTTCAGATGGAGAAAGTAAGTATCTGCTTTGAAACTGAATGCTGCTCATCCAAGGAATCATTATATTCCCTGTTATAAGTGAATGCTAATCTCTTCCATGGACACCAATATTTTTTTTCCTGAATCTCAGTTGAAAATGACATTGAGTTACTTTTCCCCAGATTTATTGGATTATTATTTTCTTAGTGACTTGTGCAAACCACTATTCTGAATAATTTTTTTATTATTAGGGTTGTGGGCACTGGAGATCAGTTGATGGATCCAACAGGGCAGTGGGCAAAAACGTTTGAAAACCCCTGTTATACCTCATGGGAACATACTCACCCCTGAAATGTTGCCTGTGGTGCCCAAACAGTGAGAATGTTGGATTTGATATCCCGCTTTATCACTCCCTTAAGGAGTCTCAAAGCGGCTAACAATCTCCTTTCCCTTCCTCCCCCACAAAAAGCACTCTGTGAGGTGAGTGAGGCTGAGAGACTTCAAAGAAGTGTGACTAGACCAAGGTCACCCAGCAGCTGCATGTGGAGGAGCGGAGACGCGAACCCGGTTCCCCAGATTGCGAGTCTATCGCTCTTAACCACTACTCCACACTGGCTCTCAAAGAATGCCCAAATAGTATGAATGGCCAACTCACCAAGTGGATTGTGGCAGCTGTTTCATTACACATTACAATGCATAGCAAGAGGATGCACTTTCACTTTCATCAGCAGGGGACCAAACAAATTCTAAAGAAAATGTTCCGAAACTAAATATGACTTCAAACTCCTACCTCATTTATTCCTAGACTAGAAAGGTCAAAATATTTTTTCATCTTGCCTCCTTGGAACAATCTTTGAATACTCTATGGTGACTAAAGAATGATTAAATATGTTTAGTGCTAAGTAATGCACATTTTGAATATCTGCTGCCAGAGAGATTCTTTTGTATCCCTCTTCACCTGCCAGTGTTGGATTATTACCCCGACCCACAGATACTCAAATGCAGCACCAGCAGCTACCGCTGTGTACACAGGAATGTGTGCATGGGTCTTTTGTCACAACCAGCTACGAAGCACAGAGCCGGCCCACCCATGAGGTAGGCTGAGGCAGCTGCCTTGGACAGTGGAATGTCAACAGGAGGCATCCTAGCCAGCCACTAGTGGAGAAGTGGAGCGGTGGCAGCTTCCTGCAAGATTTCACCAAACGCTTGCAAGATCCCACTGTCCTCACTGTTGTTGTTACCACATTGTGGCACTGCTGGGTAATCAAAATAAGGGAGGTGGCAGTGACAGCAGGGCAGTGGAGGTGGCACCTTCCTATGTCACCTCAGGCAGTGTAAGAAGACACCTCACCCCTCATGAAGCATGTGTTGGTGGTATGCTAATAGGAGCAGGGGGAGTAAGATAAAATAAGTGCTGAAGAACAGATTGTAATGCATGTAAATGACATGTCACTTTCCCCATTTTCGAAATCAGAGCAAAAACGACCCAGAGTCCACCTATGATGAAGAAAACATGGCTTTTAATATTTCCGGGCTCTTTGTAGCAGGGACATCCACAACCACCAGTTCTCTGAAATGGGCACTTCTCCTCCTGGCAAGTCATCCAGATATCCAAGGTGAGAGAGGGAGACCTGTGCAGGGCTTCTTTTGATCTCTAGAGTGGGCTGTAATTCTTGTGTCAATTAATTGTTATTGATTTTCCAAAAATTTTAGGAAATTGACGGTAAATTAATTCAAATTTACAACAAATTTAAAAGTTGATTATCTCCCACTCCCCGTTCAAGTTGTTAACAGCAAAGGAACGAGAGAAAAGAAACAATAACATACTTTTCTCATCCTTTCCTCAATTTCCACCGGCTGTGCAAATTCCTGCTTAGATTTTCATTTACCGTAACTATAACATTTCTTCAGTTATTTAATGTCAGGTGCTGGTGGTGGTTGTTCGTGAGTAACCAGGCAGGACTCCAACCTGTCTTTTACAGGTTTTATTGTGAAAACTATTTACAGTGCAGATCTAAAAAGTTCATGTCCATCTTAGTCACTTGCAGAATCCAGGAGTGGCCCCTTTCAGCTTCTCCCCCAACATAAGAACTTTGGCATCCCAAGCCTCCTCCTCCCCTCCTTGCGTTTCACCCCTCTGCGCAAGCTGGGCGACGGAAGTAGCGTGTGTGCCTCCTGGCCAGCCGGGCTAAGTGAGGTGCTTGGGCTCTCAGCAGCATCCTCGAGCCCTTTCCTCTCTTGGCTGGCCCCTTCCCTCTCTTCTCCATGGAAGGTGTGGCTTTCCCCACTACTGGATGTGGAACTGCTCCTCTGAAGTTTTGGCGGCTCCCTGTATCCCAACGGTGCCTCTGCTTCCCTCCCCTGTTCCGATGGCAGTCCCCTGACATCCAACCCCCTTAAAAAAAACTGCCCCATTGGTGGGGTCTAGAGCTGTTTCCCACTCACTGGCGTTGGCAGGAGAGGGTGGGAACCCGAGGAATGAATCGTCCTCCTCCTCTGTGGAGTCAAAAACTGCTCCCCACCCAACCATCCCAGCCCTGGTGGAAAATCCCAGGAAGTTTCCTCCTCATCAGAGACCTCGGCAAACTTCGTCCCCTATTCCCTTCCCCTCCCCTGAGGGTGGGAATCCCTCGTAGTCCCCCTTGTCCTCTGTGGGTCCAAACACTTCCCCAAAAAACAACTTCGGGGGTTTGGGCTTGTGCAGGAAAAGAGTGAGGAACTTCTCTTCTCAGTCACGTACCCTGCTGGGATCCATGCATTTTCTGAACTGGGAGCCCCCTCCCAGGCAACTAGGTACTCTACTTGGTGTCCCTTCCACCTAGAGTCAAGTATCTCAGTTACTTCATTACATAGTTCCCTTTCTTCTATGCTTGGTGGGGTGGGAACTCCCTGCTCCCTCTCCAGGAAGCTGTGCCCCTCCCTGTAAGGCGACAGCAAAGACCTGTGAAACACCGGATGTATCCTCATGTTATCCGGCAACTTCAGCCTGAACGCTACTGGGTTGACCTGCTGTGTCACCTCAAAGTGACCCATGCTCCTAGGCTGCAGTTTCTTGCACACCCCCTCAGGGGCAGCCCCTGAGATGACAACCACACCTTGTCCTCCACCTGGATAACCTCCCCCGGTCTCCTGTTTGTCCGCCACCTTCTTGTACACTTCCTTGGCTCTTTCCAGAGTCATCTTGAGCTGTTGGTGCATGGCCTCCATCTCTTGTGTGAATTGTTCTGCAGCTGGTACACTCAATTCATCCTCCTCCCGCCCTGGAAAGGCCCTGGGATGACACCCATAATTGGCAAGAAAGGGACTCCTCCCTGTGGACACATGTTCAGCATTATTGTACGTGAACTCTACCAGTGCTAGCTTCTCCACCCAATTGTTCTGCCGCTAATTAATGTAACAGTGCAAGTACTGCTGCAAAATGGCATTTGCTCTTTCCGCCTGTCCATTAGTCTGTGGGTGTCTGACTGTGGAAAAGCTCACCTCTACCTGCAACAAACCCATGAACTTTGTGCCAGAAATGTGAGGTGAACTGTCTTCCACAGTCAGAAATTACCCTAGAAGGGACCCCATGCAGCCAAAAGATGTGGTCCAGGAACAACTTGGCGGTTTCCTCATCTGACACCGCATGGGAGCATGCCACAAGGTGGCACATCTTGGTCAGCAGGTCCACCACCACCAGGACTGCTGTCTTAGCTCGGGACATGGGCAGGTCCGTCATGAAGTCTATGGACACCACCTCCCAAGGTCTCCCCGGTGTTGGTAAGGACTCCAGCAGCCCAGCTGGGGCCGCCCTTTCCCTCTTTGCTCTTTGACACATGTCGCACCCTCGGACATACTCCCGCACATCCTCCCTTACCTTGGGCCACCAGAAATCCCGTGTAACTAACAACATGGTCTTGTGTTGCCCAAAGTGCCCAGCTGTAGGGTTGTCATGGAGCTGCTTGAGGACTCTGACCTGCAAGGGTTCTCCCGATACATACAGTGCCCCTTTGTAGAACAACAACCCCCCTTTCTCCTCAAAGCCCTCATCTGCTCCCATCCCTCCTTGAGCTCCCTAAATTTCCCTTGAGCAAAATCATCGTCTCTGGTGAGTCTAACCAGTTCTGCCTCCCCTGCCAGTGTTCCCTCACAGGTCCATTTGTTCCGCTGGAACATTTGTCTGGCCATGGGGGGCCCTTCATCTTCCATGTACTCCGGCTTCCTGGGTAATGCGTCTGCCTTCACGTTCTGCTCTCCAGGAACGTAGTGGATCTTAAAGTCAAAATTGGCAAAAAAACTCCGCCCATCAAATCTGTCTCTGACAGAGCACACGCGCAGTGCGCCAATGTTCCAAGTTATTGTGGTCTGTCCACACCTGGATCTGCTGCTGCACCACAATTAGAAAGTGTCTCCACTGTTTAAAAGCCGCATAAATGGCCAGCAATTCTTTGTCATAAATGGTGTAATTTTGCTCCGAATTGTTCTGCACAAGATCTCCAATCTCCCCCTGCGTCTTGTTGTAACAGGACTGCCCCGATGGCCTTGTCAGAAGCATCTGTCTTCACCCACAAGGATCCACATGCAACAGCTGCTCCTCTGACACAAAGACCTTCTTTAAGCTTTCAAAGGCCTGCTGCGCCTCCTTAGTCCACAGAAACTTTTTCTTCCCACAATCAGTTATAGGCACCGACAAATGTGCAAAGTTCTTGATAAACTTTCAGTAGAAATTGCTGGAGCCTAGGAATCTTTGCACATCCTTCTTCTTGGGGCTTGTCCAGTCTAACACAGCCTTCACCTTCTTGTGATCCATGGCAAGTCCCCTATCCAACAGCCTGTACCCCAGGAACTCGACCTCACGAGCATGAAACTGGCATGCCACCCTATCCTCATCCTTCTTGCAAATTCCTTCTTTTGCAAGTCCAGGGAATATTTAATCTCAGTCTTAAAAGCAAGGTACTCTTGGGGTTCCCGCCAAATATACTCACCAGTGCTGGAATCCTTCTCCCCACCAGAGTTGCCTTGCTTTGCTGCTCCTGCAGTCTGTGCTCCTCCAGCCTGGCTGTGAGGTCAGCGATGTGAGTTTTCCAGCTCCACATTCCTCTGCATCAGGGTCGCTACTTTCCATGCCACAATTTCCTCAGCGCCTCCGCCTGCAGCTCCTCGCTCCTCCAGCCTCCCTTTCTTCTCTAGACTCATTGTGCTGCTCTTCCCTGCTACACGTAAGCAACCGCAATGACTTCCAGATTGCTGTCAGATGCTGGTGGTGGTTGCTTGTGAGTAAGCTGGCAGGACTCCGACCTGTCTTTTACAGGTTTTATTGTGCAAACTATTTACAGTGCAGATCTAAAAAGTTCATGTCCATCTTAGTCACTTGCAGAATCCAGGAGTGCCCCTTCCGGCTTTTCCCCCAACATAAGAACTTTGGCACCCCAAGCCTCCTCCTCCCTCCTTGCGTTTCAACCCCTCTGCGCAAGCTGGGCTAAGTGAGGCGCTTGGGCTCTCAGCAGCATCCTCAAGCCCTCTCCTCTCTTGGCTGGCCCCTTCCCTCTCTTCTCCGTGGAAGGTGTGGCTTTCCCCACCGGTGGACAAGGAACTGCCTCTCTCAGAAGTTTTGGTGGCTCTCTGTATCCCAGCGGTGCCCCTGCCTCCCTCCCTTGTATCCAGTGGCTGCCCCTGACATTTAAGTTGAGTTATTCTTCCTTTATCTAAACATATAATCATCAATCATAGTTTCAAATCATATTTCCTCCAATAACAACTTATTTGTCTTCCTTTATGCTGTTCTCAACACTCTGAATAATTAATGGTAATTATATAATCTTCTTTAACCCTAGCATTCTCTTCAAACTTCACAAAGAAAGAAAGAAGAAAGAAAAGAAAAGCTTGACCAATATCCATTTTCCCAGACTGCTCTTACCCCCCTTAACATTATCCCTACTAAGTACTGGAGGAAGAGTGAACCTTATGCCTGTGAAACGTTAAAATGTTATCCTTAATATATTCCCCTCCCAATATTCAGCGAGGACCATACATATTCCCTTCTGCCCAGTTTTTATAATGTATCAACAACATGAAATTCAGGGTTACTTCTTCCTTTCTCTCTGAATGTTTTGGACGTTGAGAGAACATTCTCATTCCATACCAAGAACCAGAGGCGTAGAAGGTCAGGAGGTACCCGGTGCAGATTTTTTTTTGCCAACATTGAAATTGAAATCTGTCAATGAGAGCCAACCCCCCCAAGAAAGCCGGACACCCCTAGGCATGAGGCAGCTCCCTATGTTACCAAAAGCAATGCCTCAGCCACAGACTAGACCGTAGGGTCATCTAGTCCATGTGGCGACCAAGAGGGCCAAAATGGAGCCCAGCAGACTTCCTCTGCGCATGCAGCTCCCTGCCGATCACGGAAACGTCCTCCTGCCTCTTTGGTCGGTTTAGCAGAGCGATACGCAACGGTGAAAAACTGCTGCAGTGTGTGGGTAATAAATCAGGCTTGCACGCAGGCTTCTCTCTTATCTCTAACAGCCTTTATTCGTGTAGCATAACATTGTAAATTCAGTCTTAAGCACCCGGTGACGACTCGCACATCTCGCCTCTCCGACAGAGCGGAAGAGAAGAACACACACAGAGAAACCACTCCCGTATGTGTTACTCAACCACGCCTCATGATGTGAGACGTCATTCAGAACGTCACTCAGAACTGTTTACCCTGTACGTTCTGAAACCCTTAACAGTCCAACCCCTGCAATGCATCTCAACTAAAGCATCCATGACAGATATCCATAAATAATCCCTTCGTGAAAATGATTGATTTCCATCTGACTAGAATGTGAAGTCTTTTTATGTTAGATTTCTCATTCTCATATATCTGACAGATCAAATTTATCCACTATTTAAAAAAAAAAGCCTTTGGTAATCTGCCAGCATTCATTTCGTTCTGTCTCTGTGTTCTATCCATAAGTGTTGATGCCATTCAGGTCCCCCAACAGAACCAATTGGTAATCCAGATAGTCCAGAAGTCTTGTTTCCAGGTTCTTAAAAAACCCTGATCCTCCTTTGAAATTTGAAGGAGAGGCCCTCTGGAAACTCCCACCTGAAGAAGATGTTCTTCCTTCTCAGAGTTCCAGCCAAATCTGTGTTAATTATTCCTTAAGTTCAGAAAATGTTTTGGAATCTCCTTGAAACAAAACAATTGACTTGTCTTTAATCTTCAGGCTTTTTTTATTGTGTAGACCCAAAATATTGTCCCTCTGTTCCTTTGTCTTGAAAACCACTATACAGTCATGTGCAATTTTTGACTCTTTCTTAGGCCCAAACCTATAGGCCCTCTCAATTCAAGAATTTAGCTCGTCTTTTTCCAAATCCCAGCGTGCTGCAAACTCCTCAATTAGCCAATCCTTAAGATTATCTTGTTCCAATTGGGGGGCGCCTCTCACTCTCAGTTGATTTTCCCATTCCTCCATCTGTAAGAAAAGCAATTACATTAAGCACATCCTGTTGGGTCCTCTCCACACCAGGCACTCTCACTGTTTCCAATTCCGTCAGTCTTGTTTCGTGACCGGCAACCTCTTCCTTGACCTCTTGAATGCCTTTTTTTCAAATCTACAAATTCTTGTTTAAGCTCCTGTACATTCTGCTGGGTTCCTCTGACATCTGTTCTTATTTCTGTTAGCATTTGCATCACCGCCTCTTCAAAAGTTGGTGCTTTGGAGCCTCTTCTATCTTCAATCTTACTTTCCCCAGGATTATCCGCACCATAAGCCATAACTATTCCAAAGTATCAAGGTCACAGTCACAGTCAGTCAACAAGATTTTTAGTACACAGGCAGAAGCAGACAACTCAGCAGCTCCACCTTTCAAAGTCTTATTGTTTTTACTCTTCTTATTCTTTTAGAAAGCATCCAAAATTAAATTGGGCACTTATATTCAATTCAAGGAGGGTAAGAGAAACACTGTGTACTATTACAGCAAGCTCAGACAGCAGCAGTTACCTTGTAATCCCCTAAGAGGAAAATGAAAGCTGAATGTATCCACTCCCTTTGTGACGTAATAATGAAGTCTAGCCCTCCCCCGCTGGGTGGTCCGCTTCCAAAAAGCAAGAGTCTATTCCACTGTCAAATGTATCTCATGCAGGGTCTCAATTCAATCAAATTCTTCCCCTTCCCCCTGCAGAAAGAGGGGCTTAAAATGATTCCTTGGAAGTTTTAACAAGTCTTTCAAAGTTGCAGCTTCGGTCAGCGTTAACTGCTTTCACTTTTACTTCAGCAGAAAGCGATCAACCTCCGTAATTTGAATCCGTTTCAAATCAATTAATAGTCCAAATTAAAATCCTTTTTTACTCACGATTAGCCAATCTTCTATATTTGGTTGGAGAAACTGGTCGCTAACGGTTGCCGGACTTTGGAGCTTCACGACTCATGTTGAACTTGTGGCCCACCAAGACGCCTAGAACCTTTTCACATGTGCTACTGGCTTTAAAATGATTTTTGTGTATCTGGGGGGGGGGCACTGCTCCCCCGGCTATGCCCATGCTCAGAGCGATGGACAGGAGCCCTGGACCACCGTCTTCTCTCTCTCTCAGCAATCTATAATATCACATCAGATCCAATAGGGGCCAAATCCACTGTCCATAAAGGGTTTCTGGAGTCACAGTGAAAAGCTTTCTGAAAAGTGTCGTTCTCATCTGGCAAATGGAAAAAAGTGCCATTCAATCTTAGTTTGAAAGACATGCCATGAATGAAACAGCAGGAAGCGTAATGTGTGAATGTAGCATGGAAACATGCGCAATGCTCTTCTTGTCACATGCACATATGCAATCACAGAACTAGAGTTCAATCTTAGTTTGAAAGTCATGCATGAATTAAACAGCAGAAAGCATAATGTGTGAATGTAGCATGGAAACATGTACAATGCCCTTCTTGTCACATGCACACATGCCAAAACAGGACTAGAGAATTAACTCAAAAAGGGCAATTCAGTGATGAAGGGAGTGCAGCGTGTTTCAGAAGACAAGTGGTTGGTGGTTAAAAAAATAAGCAGAAGAAGACAACAGGAGAGGATGAGACTAGAGACACAACAGAAGCTGCTAAAACTGCATTGTTGGGGAATATGTATTTCCTCTCCTATTAGCAAAACTTACTGGGTTTATCCAAAGTTGCTTACTCGGGAGTAAACACAGGAAATCCTTGGACACCCTTCCAGAGGGAAAAAAGCAAAACAAAATTGGGTGGCAAACCGCACTCCTCTCAGAGTTAAAAAACCCCAGTGAACAGAATAGTGTGATTCTCCTCTCAGCAATTCATTTCCACCACCACCCCTTGGAGTACTGGAGCGCAAAGACAAAAGAAGAAGAAAACTCCCGAGGTCCCGTCCCCCCAGTTTGCCAAGCAAAACTCACCGGATGATTTACAGGCTCACTGAATCCCCCAACAAAAGCAGCAAAGACCTTGGACTGCGCGCGGCAGGCTTTTAAATGAGGGCTGCGGGGAAACCAAAAGCAACATGCTCAGGCAAGCTCTGCAAGACGCTCTGGACATGATGGCGCGGGGGGGGGGGGGGGAGCCGCTGCTACACCTCTGCAGGAGCCTTTAAGGATGGGACATAGATGGGCAGGGAAAGCAGGACCTGGCCCACCTTGCAGTGAGCTGGGGAGGCAGGCAGGGGGACGGTGGTTGCCGATGCTTTGCCACTTGTGCCGGCGTTGGCTTGGGAGGTTGCGGGGTGAGGGGCCCCGTGCATTACATACATTTATTTATTACGGCCATAGGCCCATACAAGTAAAAACAACACATAAATAACAGCTTGTGCACGTGGGAAAAAAACAGCCGCTAAAACACCACTATAACAATAAAATACTATAAGATGGAATGGCATACTACGCCTTAATTAGCTTGAAGTGCTCCTTGGTGTCGCTTTTGGGTAAGGACAGCGACCAGGAACCTAGCCACTTTCAGGGTCGTGTGGGTATCCTTATCCTGCAAGATTTGGGCAAGGTGGAATTTTGGTGGGGTACCCTCTAGTTTCTGTATGATTGATCCCAACAAAATTTGCCCGTGGCACATTGAACAAGGGGCAAGTGAACATAATGTGCTGGAGCGACTCCGGCGTCTCCTTATCACATTCGCACATGGCGGAGGCTTGGCCCTTTGAGAATCTATGTCTCAGGACATTGGAGGGAAAAACGTTAAACCTCGCTTTGGTGAAGGCCAGTCTATGGGCAACAGTCGAAAGGGAGGAGAGGTATGATGGAACGCAGTAAGTTAAAGTGATACCAATGTTCTGGGGCGAACAAACACCTCCCCCCAGCGTATAATTTCGCTGTAAGTCGATGTCATCCAGTCTTTGGCGGATCAGTCTTTGAGCAGTGATTTGGTCTAGTTTTAGGGAATCTGAGGGAGAGATTCCATAACTCAGGAGTTTGGCATGAATTCTACTAGTCCAAAGGCTAGAGAATTCATCTCGCCATAAGCATTGGACAAGGTAATGGTTTGGTAATCTATGCCACAATGATAACCAATAGTTGAAGACTTGCTTCCACAGGCAAGTTTCTAAGGATGCGATCTTCAATTCTAGTCGCATGGCTGCGTTGCTTACACACAGGGAGAGCATTAGGAGCCGACGTAGGAATTGGTTTTGCAGAGTCTCAAGGGGAGCAAGATCTGTCATCACGGCCCAGAGCGGGGCAGCATAAGCAAGCACGGCAACCACTTTTGCCTTGAACACCTTTAGGGCCGAGGGAACATGCAAAGCTCCATCCGAAAGAAAAATCGGAGGAGCGTATATGACAGAGTTTTGGCCTTGTTAAGTAGGTGTTGAATTTGAGCTTTCCACCCCAAATTGTATTGAAAAATAACTCCAAGGTATTGAAATTTTAGGACTTGCTCTATTTTTGCTCCACCAAGCTTCCATTCGTATAATCTCCGGCTTCTGGAGAAAATCAGAATCTTGGATTTAACATGGTTGATGGTTAATTGGTTGAGTTGACAATACGTGGCAAAGATCTTCAGAGCTCTGGTTAGTCCAACACGTGCCAAATATCGCCCCCTTCAGGATGGTACCCGGAGCGGTGCGCCCCCTCTCCCTTCCTATGCCACTGCCAAGAACTCAGCTACATTAGACAGAAAAGTTTTCAATGTGTTATAAATATGCAACACCAGATGGCACCAGAGACTAAAAGAAATCTCTATGCAATTTTTACATAGCTTTTTCTTTTCTTTTGTTATAACGATTTAATTACTGACTTATTTATAGTGGTCCCAGTCCCCCCCCCCCGGTGTGTAGATCCACCCCAACAATTGGTGAGGCACCTAATCTTCCTTGTTATGTAGTTCCCTTTAAACGAAACAAACTTTGGATTATCTGTTTTCCATTTGATATTCTAGCTACTGCTCTAGCCCTTTAACACTGCCCATGCCAAGTACTGGGGGGAGAATGAAGTTTATATATTCAAAATAAAACTTTTGTTTCTGTAATTTTCTTCAGATAAAGTCCACAAGGAGATAGAAGATGCTTTAGGTTCTTCTCACACAATCTGCTATCAAGATAAGAAGAAACTGCCCTACACCAATGCTGTGATTCATGAAATGCAGCGCTTTCAATATGCCTTATTTATGGGGGCTCCTAGGCAATGTACAAAGGATGTGAAGATGCGTGGTTTTCTCTTTCCCAAGGTAAAGAAGAGTGATACAGCTGCACGCCTGTATCCCAAGAGTCTATGAGTAGGTTGCATATTCAGAGATGCCCCCAGCCATGCAGAAACTTCCTGTGTAGTCTAAAACAGGAGTTCCACCTGCAGACATGTTCACTAGTGCTATTCCTGGGGCCATGTGGCACCTCAGAGGAGCATGCAGTGGCCAAAGGTCTCAGCGAGGCCTTTTTGAAACAGGTGTTGGGGGACGCCCTGCTGTGTTTCTGCTTGTATAGAAATATTTTTTTAATAGAAAGAAGTTGAGGATGAATATGGCCACTGTTAAATACCAACCTGTCCCCTCAAAACTCTGAGTTTCTTTTTTTTTAAAGATATTTATTAGAGTTTCAAACAATAAAACAAACTTCACAATACAAAATGAGAAAAAAGAAAAAACACCACTCAAGAATCAAAAAGAAAAACACCAGGTAAAAACCCAACAAAAACAGAAGAAAAAATATATGAACAAGACATAGAAAAGAAAAAAACCAATTTCTTATATATTATTCTCATAGACCCTCTTTCCGGACTCCCTCGCATCTCCCTTTTCTGCGTTCCTTTTTACAAAATCTATTCAGCAATACCTCACCTTCTTTCAAATCTATTCATATTATACGTTTCCACTATTTAGTCTCCAATTTTTACCCATTTTTTCATTTTGTTTAAGTTTGACATGAAGGTGTTCTACTTCACCTTTGTTCTGTAATCTTTTTTGCCATACATGCCTTTAACTATATCATAATACCGACATTTTCCTCTCGTAGTATCCCGCATCATTTTAGCATTTCATTACATATTTACAATGCTTTTGCAAGTAGTCTCTTAAATTTTCTTCCAGTCCTCTTCCACCAGCTCCTCTCCCAAGGTCTCGGATGTCTGTCCAGTCATTTCTGCCTAATTCCATATAGTCTATCAGTTGCATCTGCCATTCTTCCAGGGTGGGTAAATCTTGAGTCTTCCAGTGCTTTGCAATAAGTATTCTTGCTGCTGTTGCTGCATACATAAAGAAAGTTCTATCCTTCTTTGGCACCATTTGGCCAACAATGCCCAAAAGGAAGGCCTCTGGTTTCTTAGGGAAGGTATATTTAAATACATTTTCAGTTCATTATAGATCATTTCCCAGAAAGCCTTAACCCTGGGCATGTCCACCAAAGGTGAAAGAATGTTCCCTCAGTTTCCTTACATTTCCAAACACTTATTGTCTGGCAAATGGTATATTTTTGCAAGCTTGACTGGGTCATGTACCACCTATATATCATTTTCATAATGTTTTCTTTCAAGGCATTACATGCCGTGAACCTTACTCCGGTGGTCCATAACCGTTCCCAGTCAGCAAATATAATGTTATAACCAATATCTTGAGCCCACTTTATCATAGCTGATTTAACTGTTTCATCCTGAGTGTTCCATTTTAACAGCAAGTTATACATTCTTGATAGTACCTTAGTTTTAGGTTCTAACACTTCTGTTTCCAGTTTCAATTTTTCCACCTGGAAACCTGTTTTTTTGTCCTCATTAAAGACCTCCCTGATTGAGTATGTAACCAATCTCGCACTTTATCTTTTAGTTTATCAAAACTCTGCAATCTCCAAGTGTCTCCATCATTTTCTAATATCTCCCAATATTTTGGCCAGGTTGGCCTCCATATTGAGTCTTTTCTGAGCCTTAGCTTCCATTGGTGACAACCACCTTGGGGTCTTATTTTCCAATAAATCTTTATATCTTGTCCAGACATTAAATATTGCTTTCCTGACAATATGGTTCTTAAATGCTTTATGAGCTTTAACCTTGTCGTACCACAAATAATGCATGCCATCCAAACACATTGTTAAACCCTTCCAAATCCAAAGTGTCAGTGTTCTCTAGAAGTAGCCAATCTTTCAACCAGCAGAAGGCTGCTGCTTCATAATACAGTTTCAGGTCTGGCAGGGCAAACCCCCCTCTTTCTTTAGCATCAGTGAGTATTTTAAATTTTATTCTGGGCTTTTTGCCCTGCCAGACAAACTTAGAGATGTCTCTCTGCCACCTCTTGAAACAATCCATCTTGTCCACAATCTGTAGAGTCTGGAACAAAAACAACATTTTTGGCAATACATTCATTTTTATAGCGGCAATTCGACCCAACAAGGAAAGCTTCAATTTTGACCAAATTTCTAAATCTTTTTTGATTTCTGACCAGCATTTTTCATAGTTATCTTTAAATAAGTTCAAATTTTTAGCCGTTATGTTCACCCCTAGATATTTCACCTTTTTAACCACGTTTAACTCTGTCTCCTTCTGAAACCTTTCTTTTTCCGTAGTTGTCAAGTTTTTCTCCAAAACCTTAGTTTTTTGTTTATTTAATTTAAATCCCGCCACCCGACCAAATTCTTGAATCAATTCTAAAACTCTTTTTGTACTAGATTATGGCTCCTGTAGTGTCAAAACCAGGTCATCTGCAAAAAGCCTTTAATTTATATTGTTTAGCTCCGACCTGAATTCCTTCAATCAACCTGTCCCTTCTGATCATGTTCAAGAGCACCTCCAGGACCGAAATAAATAGCAGTGGAGAGATAGGGCAACCCTGTCGTGTTCCTTTCTCAATTTTAAACTCTCCTGTCACCACATTGTTAACTATCAATTTTGCTTTTTGTTCTGAATAAATTCCATCTATACCATTTTCAAACCCCCGTCCCACTCCCATCCCTTTAAGATTTTTCTTCATAAAAATCCAAGAAATATTGTCAAAGGCTTTCTCTGCATCAATAAAGATCAGTACTGCTTTTGTATTAGTGTTCATTTGTAATAGTTCCAAAATGTCAATAATGTTCCTTGTGTTATCAGACAAATGTCTGCCTGGGAGAAAGCCTGCCTGGTCTTTATGAATCACTTCATTTACACTTTTTTATCTGTTAGCTAAAATATCTGCAAAAATTTTGTAATCCACATTTAAAAGGGAAATGGGACGGTAGTTCTTAAGTTGTGTCTTTTCAGTTTCAGATTTAGGTATAAGTGTGATGAAAGCTTCTTTCCACGACTCCGGTGCCTTCTTCCCCTCCATAATCTCGTTACAACCTCCTTCAGTGGTTGAATCAAATAGTCTTTCAAAGTCTTATAATACTTGGAGGTTACCCATCCGGCCCTGGAGATTTGCCCAATTGCATGTTCTGAATGGCACCTTCAATCTCTTGTTCTGTTATTTTGTAATTCAATATTGTCTTTTTTCTTGAGATAGTTTTGTAATCCGTTGTTTCTTAAAAATTGTCTATCTCATCTCTTTTGCGGCCCTTGGTATAAAGTTGTTTAAAATATCTCTGGAAGCATTTTCTGATCTCCACAGGGTTCTGAATGTTTCTCCCTTCAATCTCTAAGTTAGTAACCGTATTCAACTTCTGTCTTTTTTTCAACTGCCATGCTAGCAGTTTTCCACATTTATTTGCCGATTCAAAAGTCCTTTGTCTCATTTGTTTAATTTTCCATTCAACTTCCTGGTTTATCAATTTTGTATATTGTGCTTGAAAGTTTAATTTCTCTCAGAATCTCCTGTGACTTTGGTTTCGATCTTAGTTTTTTCTCTCCTTCTTTTATTTTTTCCAAAATCTTATCTTTTTTCTCATTCAAAGCTCTTTTCTTTACCGCATTCTGTTGTATCAGAAACCCCCTCATAACCGCCTTGCTTGCATCCCAGATTACTCTTTTTTCAACTGTAGTTTTCAAATTTATTTCAAAATAATCACGCAGATTCTTTTGGGCCTTCTTAACTATCTCCTGATCTCTTAGTAAGGTGTCATTCATCTTCCATCTGAAGGAACCAGTTGAAATTAATCTCATTTCCATCTTTACTGCATTATGGTCGGAGCAGGTTTTTGGGCAGATTTCCACCTTTCTAATCTTAGGTGCCAGACCTCTAGTTATCCATATTTGGTCGATTCTTGTCCATGTCATTTTGGCTTCAGAGAAGAATGTCCCCTCTCTTCCTAAGGGGTTCTTTGTTCTCCAGATGTCAATTAAATCCATATTGTCAGTTAATTCAAAAAAAGTCTTTGGTAGTCTGCCCTCTTTTGTCATACTTTGGCTTTGTGCTTTATCCATGTTCGTAGATACCACCCCATTCATGTCGCCCATCATAATGATGTTGTTATAGTCCATGTAGTCCAACATTATATCATGCAGCTTCTTGTAGAATTCCGATTTCCCCTCATTTGGTGCATAAATCCCCAAAATCAAAAATTTTCCCGCTTGTGTTTGAATTTCAATTGCCAAAATTCTTCCTTGCTCATCCTTAAAAAGAAATTTAGGTGATGGGCCTTCTTTTGCATAATCACAACTCCTCTCTTTTTCACTCTGTCAGATGAAATAAATTCTTGGCCTAGTCTCTTGTTAATTAGCACTTCCTGTGAAGCCTAATCACGTGTGTTTCCTGTAAACAGATAATGTCCAATTGTTCCTTTTTTAATAAATGAAAAATCTTCCTTCTTTTCTCTGGAGAGTTAAAACCATGAATGTTCCACTTAGAAGTTGCAGAGACATGTTGGGCTATTTATTCTTTCACCTGGGGTGGTATCACTTCCAATTCGTCAGTACCCTGAGGTGTAGGTGTCAAACTTGATAGTTCATGTCCTAAGGCTCCAAGTTCCCCTCCGATCCCTTTCTGAAGGTCTTCTCCGTGGTCGTTCAAGAATTTTTATTTGTCATCCACTGTCTTGATTTTAACTTTCTTACCCCTAAAGGTGAAGGAAAGTCCCTGGGGGAACTCCCACCTGAATGCAATTCCGTTGCTTCTCAATAATTTCGCCAGATCTCCGTAGCTAGATCTGAGATCCAGTAAGTGTTTAGGGATATCCTTGTAAATTTCCACTTTCAAATCCTGAATTTCAAGTGTCTTTTGAAAATGTGCACTCAGTATCTTGTCTCTCTCTGCCTTTGTTCTGAGAGAGATCAGGCAGTCTCTGAACTTGCCTTTCCTCCCTCCTTTTCCAAGTCTGAATGCACTTACAATTTTAAAGTCCTTATCTTCTTCCAAAGACCAATATTCAGTGAATTCTTTTGTCAAATATTCAGTTAAATCTCCTTTTTC